ACTCGTAGGTCCCTCATGCTGAGGAAGCCTACACCAAAGGAAACGCAAGATGAGGTTCTACCGGAAGAGTCACTTCCCACCTCCATCTTTACGTAGCCGAGGGCAGCAGCGCTGGCCCCCACTGTGGAGAATTGAAGAGTCCCGAATTGTGTTTGATGTTGATATTTTTAAAACAATACAGCAAGTAAAACAGAAAACTAAGCTGGTAAGTAACATACAATGGACTATTGTATAGCAACAAGTAAACAAACTATAGTGATATACAGCACAGCAACATAGATGAACCCCAGAAGTAAATCACTGAGTGGATGAAGCCACATTCATGAGAGAAGAAGGCACTTTCTTTGTTTTTGTTCAGATCAAGTCCCAAAAGAAGCACAACATTTCCAAGGTGTTAGAAGTCAGCTCAGCAGTGGCCATTTTGTGAGGGGTCATGATTATGGGAAAGTTTCTGAGTTTTAATCTTGTTTCTTAATCTTTATAGATGTTTCACAAATGCATTTATTTTAGGCAAACTCATTGAATTATCCACTTGTGCCCTGTGTACTTTTCTGTCTTTTATATTTGAGTACATTTACAAAAATAAAAAATGTAAGCAAAAAGCCGTAAGTCTCATTTCTTAGAATGAGCTTTTTCTAGTAACTAGAAGTGGCGGAAAAGTCCTGGAATTGTACCAAGATGTCACGGAGGGAGCCATTACCCAGAGGAAAGCAGGAATTTAGCAGAGCAGAGATGAGGGCGGCAGAATCCAGACTGTGGGTCCAGACACAACAAATGACCTACTGCTTCAGCAAACACTGCTGGACTCTAAACCAAAGAGAGGAAATGGAGAGGAAGAAGTCAATTTTGAGATTACTCCCTGGCCCCAGCCCCTAAGCTAGGAGTTTTCTCGAAAAATCAGTTGGGAGTATTTGGCGGCAGCTTCACCAAGGCAGTCCTCTGAGAAAGGATTCCAGATGTGGAGGATGTTTCCCAGGTAATGCTGGCGTCTCTGGGCTCCAGGGAGACCCGGCAGGGGCTGGCAGCCGTGCAGCTCAGCACATGTGAGGGACTCCCTGGCTTCCTCCACCTTCCCACACCAAGGTGTGATTAACAGCTGCATTAGGTCAGGTAAAAGCAACCTGATCAGAGCACAGCAGGAGGTGATGGGCCTGTCATGGAGCTAGTTACAGGTCCAAGAGTGCTGCGCTGAGCCTGATGGACTTGGGAAACAATTCGGTATTTACACATGTGTGTCCTATTTATTTTGCATTTATTTTCCATTTTTCACGCCAACTGCTTTTAACCACAAATATTTTACTGTAGAATGATGAAGGCAGCTGAGTTTCTTGTAATGGTGGTAGGGTACTCATCTGAAAACAGAATGGGCTTTCAGAGTCACACCCTTGAGCAGTCCTGCTAAGAAAGATGGATGCCCAGCTGGACCCTCTTACTCTTGGGTCTCTGCATGGCCCCTCCCTGGTGTCCCGTACGTACAGGTTTCATCCTGCTTCAGGTGGCACTTCCCAGTAGATTAAGTAACAGCACAGGGGTGCAACCAGCAAGATCAAGACTGTGGGGAATTCTGCAGGACAAATGTTTCTGCAGAAATCTGTAAGAAACAAAAACTAAGAAAGGAATGAGTGGGAATCTGTAGACAAAAAGAGGTTTGTTTGAATTTGAATAAAAAAATAAGGTTTAACTGGGCAAGCCAAGAAGACAGGGCAGACAGCAGGTAGTCGTTAGCACGGAGGGACGTTCACAAGTTGCGAAGGCTGTCTTGGTATTCAGAGTGGTCACGGCCCTGAGGTGGTGCTTTGCCAAGTCTCCATGTGTTAGAGTTAAGAGAAGTCACCCTCCTCCACCCTCACTGTGCGACTCCTTCACCCCGTGCAGGGAGAGAAGCTTTCTGCACACCTGCGGGCTCGCACTGACGAGGTGAACAGGCAAAGAGCACACTCGTGGGTTTACTCATAAATTCGTGTGACATGGGAGCTTTTGGAAGTGAAAAGCTAAAGAAAAACGTTTGCGCTAACTTCGATGAGGAGTGCACAGCTGTGGGAAGCCCGATTGGCCAAGGGGGCGCGGTGATGGCGATACACTGGGGAGCCTAGCAAGGCCAGTCTGTTCAGGTTCTTCTGTGACTCCTCCCCGTGCCTCTCCTCTGAGCACGCCTCTCTCGGGAGGTCACGTGACCAGTCAGAGTGCTTTGATGACCTGCCTCAGAGGAGAGCAATGGTCAGAGACCTTCCTGCTTCTACAGCTTCCTCAGCTGCCAAAATGCCCTATTTTGGTTTGAAGCCCATCCCCTGCCTGATGTAACTTAGTAGCCTTTATCTTCTCCTCCCTTGCAAGTTTTGGAACAGAAGCTTCAAGAATTTAGAGCCTGTGTTTTCTTCGCAGAGTACATTCTGGCCCCTGCACAGCCCTGGGTACATAGAAGATGCTCAGTAAACATTTGTGAATAAACCCACGAGGAGACTGAGCAAGGTTCCCTGCAAGTAGAACACTGACGATTTGTGGGACAGAAGGAAATGATAAGGCTGGGGATCCTCTTTCTGAGGGGACGTTTTCTTTCAGAACAAGAGTCTAACTTTGAAGGGGAACTTTGTAAGAATTGCTGATAAGGCCGGGTGTGGTGGCGTATGCCTGTAATCCCAGCACTCAGGAGGCTGAGGCAGGAGGATCGCTGTGAGTTGGAGATCAGCCTGGGCTACATAGTGAGTTCCAGGTCCGTCTCAACTACACAGTGAGACCCTGTCTCAAAAAAACAAACAAATAAAAAAGAATTGCTGATAAAACTCTTGCCCATCTCTATCAGTGTGTGTGGATGTGTGTGTGTGTGTGTGTGCACGCGCGCGCGCACTCATGAGAGTGCGCGTGCGTCGGGAGACTTAGCCTCCCCAGAGGAACCTTGGGCTCATCCCTAGGCTGAGCCTGTGGCACAGACCGTGCAAGGCACAGGCTGTGGCACAGAAGCCACTGCAGTTAATTAAATTGCCTTGGGCGTGTCCTTAACCTCTCTGAGCCTGTGAAAAAGGAGGGCATTTGTACAGCTGCCACTCATAGGATTTGAAAGAAACAAAGGAGGGGGTTCATGCAGGGCCAGGAAGTGGCATTTCCGAACCTTTCTCCTCCCTGGCTAGTTCTGGAGCTGACTTGAAAACTACACTGACTTGATTTGCTCAAAGGGGAGATTTCAAAATTCTGCCTGAAACAAAAACATTTCTGAAGCAGGCTGACTATTCCTTATCTGAAATTCTTGGATCACAAAGTGTCTAGAGTTTTGGATCTTTTTCTCTTTTTTTAGACTTTAGACTATTGTCATTTACATGTGAGACACTGTAGACCGGGCCCGAGGCTCAGTGTGACGTCCACGTGCACGGTTCTTGCACACCTTGCACATGTGCCTGAAGGCCCTACCGTGCGGTGATTTTAGTGTGGCCGAGTTTTGACTGTGACCCATGGCAAGAGGCTAGAGGCAGAAGGTTTCACTGGTGGTGATGTCAGTGCTCAGAAAGCTTTGGGTTTGGCAGCATTTTGGATTGGGGGACTAGGTGTGCTCAAACTGCAGTCAAAACTCGTTAGAAAGTTCTTTGGGAAGGACCTACCGCCTCGAGCCAAGGGGACAGATGTCTCTCCACAAATTCAACAGGGATAGCACTTCTCCAGTGGAGGGACAGCCTCAGACAAAGGGGGACATGAGGCTCCCCTCGGTTTTGGGATGCTCTCACTGAGGGTGGCTGGAGGACTTGGGGCTGGCTGGAGAACACCTGGTCCTTGGCCCCAGTAGGATTCGAATCTAAGCCACGAAGAGAGGCTGGGCCTCGACTATCCTGCCATTTGGCCTCTGGGGAAGGCTGTCAGACTGGGTGCTCACTGGATTAAAGAGGGACATGCAGAGCCTAGTGGAGATGAAGGCGGGTACAAATCTCTGTGCCCCAGGGCCGGGTGAGGGCAGGCTGGCCTTGTTGGCCCTGAACCCTGGCCACTCACACAACAGAACAGGGGCCGGCCGTTCTCTGCCTTCTGGGCTACAGTGTGAGGAGGTGGCAGAGGAGACCAAAGTGCGGCCCTGGGATGAGCTCAGAGCCCAGGAGACGGCAGCCCAGAAATCAGTGGGGGCTGTCTGTTCACACCTCCCCAGAGACCGGTGAAGGGAACACAGGCATCCTGGCCACCTCCAGACTTCGCAGCCATGTCCCCTCCCCTTCACCCACTACTTGAACCCAGGATCTTCGCACTGCGCTAGGTCCCCAAACCTTTCTTTATTTTGAGCTAGGGTCTTACCAAGTCCCTAAGTTGACAAGGCTGGGTTAAAATTTGTGAACTTCCTGCCTCAGCCTGCCAGAACACTAGCTTTGCAGGCATGCACTGTTATGTGCTACTGTCTCCTTAAATTTTAGGTCATTCCGGGCGGACAGAAAAAAGCAAATTGGGAAGATACTCAAATGCATTCTTTTTTCAGGCCTTTCCTTCTAGCCCATCCCAGCTATGGCTGACGTTGGAGCCCGAGAAATCCAGTCTACAAGGGACTTTTCCCCCTCTCCCCTGTTCCACCCCAACCACAGAGTCTGTAGGACCAGGACCAGCACTGCTCCCTTGGAGACCATGATCGTTGTCAGGCAGAAAGAATGGGATCCAGGACCAGCAGAGCCCTAGCAACTGGGACTGTGTCTTGCAGGTGCAACCAGCCGTGGCTGGTTGATTGTTGGTGTTACTTCATAGTCCTCTGGGGTGACAGCCTCCAGGCAGGCTGACTGGGCTGGGCTCTGGGGGGAAGGACCAAGAGCACAGAACCAAGCGCCAAGTAATAGAAGATGGCTTGTTGAAAGCAAGCCACAGTGACCCTTGTCTCCCAGACGCTCGGCCGCTGCCAAGAGCTTCCTCCTGGCCTCCTCTGGAAGTCTGCGCCCTCGCTTTTCAGTGAGTCATGGATTGGGGACCAGGTTGTGCCTCTGGTAGTGCAGCAAATGCGTGGATTTCTGGCCACTGCCCCCTGCGGGAAGATGGACAACAGCGTGCAGGGCAGCGGCAGAGACCAGAGGAGCATGGCGGGTGAAGCTTCACCTGAAGGGCAGGGGGAAACCATCTGTCAGTTAGTTTCCGTGGACCCTGGGCAGTGTTTCCTATGGAAGGTGTTGGCCCACACCCTGTGAACGGCAGCAGTTTCTGCCTTGACTGAATCATTTGGCCACAGTGTGAATTTCACAGCCAGCTCTCAGACTGACACTTACCATCTTTCGTTTTTTTCCACAGAAACTAAGGCGCAGTGGCTTGTTCTCAAGTCCTGGATAGCTGGCGCTGGGGGCTTGCCTGGTGCCATTTGTCACAGTGGCTCTTTCTCCCTGTCACCTGGTGCATCTGGCAGGCAGTCAGAGTCCAGAAGCAGGGAGGAAGAAGGAGGAGCCTTGTAATTCTCCACTATGACTGAGAGAAACCTGCTGAGAACAGAGCAAATCAGAAAAAAGACACATCATTCCCCAGATCCTGGGGTTGGATGCGTGACATTTGTCATGCTTTGGGCCACCATGGTGGTGGCCAGGGCTCTGGAGTGTGAGCTCTGGGACGGATTCCTGGAGCAGTGCTCTCCTGTGCTGGTACCTTTCTACAGTGATGTAACCTCTGGGAGACTCCGTTGCTTTAACTCTAAAATGAAACATAATAGTCCCTACCACATAGCATTGCGGTGGTGGCTGAAGGAGACGGACCCTGGTGTCTCAGTATCTGACAAAGAGTAAGAGCTCAATAAATGCTGTCTTTTAGGATTATTAAGGGGAAAAGCCAGTCTGGGAACTCCACGGTAAATGCTGTTTCCTCCAGGGCTTCTCCAGTAAGCCTGTAACTTGGTCTTGGCAAAACACTTGAAGTAAATGTTTGGAGGTATGGTATGTATGTTGCATTCAGAGCCCAGGAAAGGTGGAGGGAGAGCTGAAGATAATTCTTCACCCCGGACCCAGGCTTGCTTTGTACTCATTCCCTGCACCGACCCTGTCCCCTCCCCTGTCTGACTCCAACCCCCAGGGGAAGGCAGGCAGTAGGTGTTGAATAATTTCTACCATCATCTTTGATGCAAATCCCGAAACATGGCCGTGTTTGGGAGGCTCTCTGGTGTGAATATGGTTTGTGTCCCCAAAGCTGCCTGTGGCAGAAGCCTGGCTCCCAGGGCGGTGATGTTGAGACTGTGGGGCCTTTGAGAGAAGGAACCATGTGGGAGGTGATTAGGTTACAGGGATAGCCACCGTGGGAGGGATCAAAGCCGGTCTTCCGTAGGGAGTTAGTTTTGGGGAGAGCAGGTTGTTTTACAGCGCAGCTGCTCCACCTGCTCTGCCTCTTCTACACCCAGCCAGGTTCTTTTATACTTCTCCACCATGTTGTGATGCGGTCAAGGGGGCTCTTGCCAGGAGGCCAGCAACACACTGTTCGGACCCCTCAGCCACCACCAGCACAGTGAACCAAATAAACCCCTTTATAAAGTGTTGGCCTCAGTTATCTTGTTATAGCACGACAGAATAGATCACTGAAAAGGTGCAGTCGCAAGCACAGGCAGGGGAGTGGGAACCGGGGATGGGAAGGTCATCACAGCAGGGGGCGTGGCTTGCTCTGTGGGCGGCTGGGCTCTGTCTCTGTGGTAACCTCTGGGAGGTGCTGGGGACCCTGTCTCAGAGTCGCATTACCTGAGGCATAAGGAAGCTGTGGATTTAGTCACAACTCCTGTCCATCACTGTTTCAGGCTGCTGTCAGAGACATGCATCTTGTACAAGAGCCAAAGGAGACCAGAGCCCACAGTGGCAGTGGTAGGAGGTGAACTGGCAAAGCAGGCCCAAGGAGACATGGCAGGGCACAGGCCAATCTGGCTTCACCACCCTAGGACTGCACGTGTCATTGGTGCCAAGGCTAACGGGGTGACTCGTGCTACTCCATGCTCTAAGGATATGGGTCTTGGTCTGAGGGGCAGTATTGATTTCTGGCTGCCTACACACAGCTACCTGCAAACAAATATGCCGCAAATCAATCCCCCTTTCTTGAAGAGAGCTAGAGAGAGCTCATGCCAGCAACTGTTCCAGCCTTTTAAAGGCATTATAGAATGAACCAATGTCTGGTGCCTTGAGTGTCTTGGGGGTAAGCACTGGGCTGATACCAGTAATTCATCTGCCTCAGCACTCACTGGAACCACAGCTTATGGTTATAGCGGCCTGGTGGGGGTTGGCTGACATCAAAGCACTGATATGGCATCTACTGACATGAGAACACCAGGACAGTGGCCTACAAGACCAAGTGACTGGCCTTGTTATGCTTCTCAGGACTTCTAAGTTAATGAAAGCTGGCATGCATCAGGCTGCTTCTACATACCAGGCACTAGCTAAGCCTTTCTCATATTTATTATGTCAGGAGGGGAATAGTGTTATGCCTATTTTATATATGAGGACATATAGGCACAGAGAAAGTAATTATCTTGCCCACAGTCATTGATTCAATTGGGGATGATACAATTAAACCCAGTTCCCTCTGACTTTAGAATTCAGTTTTAACCACTACATTGTATACTTTATCTGTTGTGCATGTTTTGCTTTTTAAATTATGCCCAGTATTGTGGTATTGAACGGGCTCCCTGAGTGGGTGAGGAGTACAGTACAGGATTAGCCTCGCTGTGTTGCTTCTGCCCATTTCTGTGGTGTAAATACTGCCAGAAGCAAACCCAGGCTCAAGAGATTGAATGGCATATTAGGAAATATATTACTCACTTTCTGGTCATAAGGACAAAAACACCCACTCCAACAACATAAAGGAAGAGGGATTCATTTTGGCTCACAGTTTCAGTGGATTCTGTCAGTGGTCAGTTGGGTCTGTTTATGGTAAAACTGCTTAATACCTGGTGGCCAGGAAGCAGAGAGAAAAGGGAGGAACCAGGGACAAGAATACAGCTTTCCCACTCACATCTCCAGAGACCTGAACCTTCTGATCAGGCCCCACTTCCTACAGCACACTCAGCTCCTGGACTCATCGATGTAAATCCACCAATGAGCCTAGCACCCCCATGATCCAATGCCTTTCGAACACATGAGACCTTGGGGGGATGTTTTAGATCAAACCATAGCAGGAGTGTTCCACAGAGCCACTGCCAGGGTGGTGGGGACGGAGATGGAGAGGCAGCAGAACAGGCAAGGATGTGCATCCAGCTAAGTCCCACCAAAGGGAGCTGGGACTCAGTCCTGCAGGGGATGAGGGGTGCAATCTGAGGGGCTTGATGAGGGGAATGTGATGGTGCATTTACATTGCCACTCTCACCATCTGTCATTGGATCAGGGATGACCCCCGAACCAATATCAGGTGCCTCTGTCCATGGGGGTAGGCAAAATGGACTCCAGCCACCGGAGGGCAGGCCTGATACAAGAGCACAAGAGTGTGTGTGTGTGTGTGTGTCTGTGTTTGTGTGTGTATGGGGAGCCAAGGTGCAGAGAAGATGTGAACGCATCGCAAGAGAGCAGGGAGCCACTGCACCACAGGTGCACTCTGGGCAGAGGGGTGTGAGGAAGATGGTGTGAGGAGCGGAGCTTCCTGTCCCAAGGAGTGCATGTCTAGGGGAGTGGGGGTGGGCGGCACTGTTAGGCCTGCCAGCAGATCTTTACACACTGGGATGCATGCATTAGGGTCCTGGGAGCCTGTGTAGAAGGACAGAAACTGGGTTGGGGTACAGGGTTAGGGACAGCACACCTCACAGTTCAGCAGAGAAATCCCCTGAATCCACTCTGCACACTCGCAAGAATGTGCAGGCAAACAGCTTGTACTCTCAGGCCTCTGGGTTTTTTTCAGGTGCCAGAAGGCCGGTGTAAAACCTATCGGGTATACCAAGATCACAGTTCACTGTGTGAGTGATGATCTGTGGGTGTGCCAGTCAGCTACATAAACTTGTGTTGTAATTATTCTTAGCCAAAGCCCCACGCATCACAGTGGTCATTAGTAGCTATTTGACATACATTTATTCACACAGATCTTGCTACCTCTGCATTTTGAGTTACTATGAAGCCTACAGGGTCCAGAGTCACAAGCTTTGATTTCAAAACTGGCTGTATAGGGCTGGATGTGTGGGCACGCACCTATAATTCTAGCACTTGGGAGGCTGAGGCAGCAGAATCACTGTGAATTTGAGCCCGGCCTGAGCTACATAGGGAGTTCAAGGCCAGCCTGAACTATACAACAAGACCCAGTCTCAAAAAAACCAAAAAAAGCAAAAACCAACCAACCAAACAAACAAAAAGCTGGCTCTATCACCTAATTAGCCTAAATAGTACCTACTTCACACAGATTTGATGTCGAGAGTGTGTGGAAATGAATTAACTCCATATACTGCTTAGCATGTTCCTGGCATACTATTAGCATTTATTAAGAAGTAAGTATCATTTATATTATTAGATATTAAACAAGATAAATGGATGTGCTTGAAATATTTTTAAGTGAAAAAATATGCTTATGTACAAAATAGTTTGAATAGATGTTCTCAAACTTTGATCTCAGAATTCTTTATGTGACTGGAAGTGGAAGACCCTTTTAAAATATGGTTTAAAATACTTACTAGCTCATTATAATAACAATATAAGCTCATGTCAATATATGTATGAAAATAACTTTATTTTCTAAAAAATTAGTAAAATGAATTTGTATTATTTACATGTTCATCAGTCTTTTCAATGGTTTTCATGAAGACAACCAGATTCTCATATCAGTCCATTGTGATGTGTTTTTTGGTTGAAGGATATGGGAAAAACATCTAGCAGAAAAGGAGGGAGAGAATTTTAATAGTCTCTTCAGTTAATTGTGCATATTCTCTTTTGATATTACATCAAAACTCAAGTGGTAGGTTTTTTTTTCATGGTTAGTTGCAATATGAAATCGGAAATTATGTTGGTGGACTTCTATCTTCTATCACATTAAAATAAATTGGTCTCTGATGTGTTTTAATCAGATACTTTATCAGACATGATTTTATAATATCCAGCATAATCATTTGGAAAGTATTGGCTCACAGAGTTGCTCAGATCCTTCAAATGTTGACACATTTAATTGTACAATATCTAAAGGTCACACGTGTCAATCTCAGCACTGATCTCATCAGATGTCTTAAGCTCAGAGAAGCTGTCAAGTACATAGGATTCAAGTTTTGCAAAATTCTAATTTTTGCTTGAAGGCTCAAAGGTTTTCACTGGCAACAAATATCACCAGTTGCTTATCTTGAAATAACTGGCCTAATTTGCTATTTTTTAAAGAAATTGTCTATTAAATTCCTGACAAGTAACCAAAGTTGCATGAAAGTCATACTTTCAGGTAAAAATGGTAAACCATGTGGCTAGTTTAGCTAGCAACCAAAATCATACAAATGCTTAGATTGGGCATACATACAACCATCATACATGAACATACAGACAAAGCCTTTTATGAATACTTCCATCTCAACACAGAGAATAGGAAATGACAGCTTTCCAAAAATTCACTTAACTGCAAGAGTGTGTTGGTAAAGAACACAGTTGTTGGGCCAGGGATTTAGCCCAATGGCACTGCAGCTGCCTTGTAAGCACAAGGTCCCGAGTTCCATCCCCAGTACCAAAAAACAAAACAAAACAAAAAAGAAAAAAATTGAGGATACAATTAAATACTACTTCCTTGAGTGGTATAAAGCACCATTTTTCATGTCACCAATGCAAATAGAACACAGAAAAAGCAGAAGATGTCCTTGTCCTTTGATGACAATGGCTTTCACTAAGGAATCTGGGAACAGGTCTCAGCAACTTCAAAGTCTTCAAAACATATTTTAGGAAATGCTAGCCTAAAAGAATGGATGCCAAGTATCAAGGCACTTATTTTGACATGATGCCTCCAGCTGTATGTAGTCATTTTCTTACTGATCATATTCTATCAGGAATAAAAAAGATATTTAAAGTTTGGAAAAAATGATTAAAGAGACTTTCATCCTGATCTCAGTCCTTGCTATCTGTCTGATAATAGACATTTTCTCCTTTTTTTGTGTGGGAGTCACAAAAGCATAGCTTCCAAGTGTGGAAGTGATGAAGACCCAACATTCTGCAGGTCCTTTTCTCTTCTCTGAGGGCAGTCTTCCTGGATACATAGTCTCATTTCCAGCCTTTCCTAGCTGTGTGACCTTGGGAAGTCAACAACTAACATTCTTCCTTGACAACATAGGAATATTATTGGCTAAGCTTCTAGGTTTTTTGTGAGGATTAACAGTGCCACATTTGAAAGGTGTCTGATAGAGCTAATATTTTCTGTTATTGGCTTTTAAGATGGGGATCAATCCAACTGCTAGGGTTGTTTTTCTTGCAGGAAACTTCCAACATGTCAAAAGTTCCAAGTACTTCCTTGATGGTATCAAGCTAATGGAAATTGTCTATGCAGAAATGTTATAGCCATTGAGCAAGAGTCCCTCATGGCTAAATATGAAGGCATTTCCACTGGGCTTTAAGGGTCTGGAGGAGTTGAGCAGAAGTATAGACTGCCTTTCTTGCCTCAAGCACACCCCGGATTACGATCCTGGTACAGACCAGTTGGCCCTTTCTGGAAAGCTTCGATCTGGAGTAAGGAGTAGGCCTCAGTTTTCCACTCAGCCTTAGTCTCCCATCAGCTGAAAGCTTCCATCCTAGAACTTCTCCCTTCCTCATTGCCTTTTCCATGCACCAGAGGTCAATGTGGTCACTAGGATCCAGCAGGTGAGCTGGCATTGTCAGGTGAGCTATATTTACTTTTGTGAGTCATTTATTTTTTTCTTTTACCTTTATATACTGGATAAAGACCATTGATTCTGCATTTGAGCTCTTCTAGCTTCAAATTACATTCTCCTTCCTGTGGAATAGTGGGTCTGTTCCCATAAGCAGTCACAGATAAAATAGGGAGAAGTCTGAGGCCACCTACCCTAAACCAATCCTCTCTTCTTCCTCAGTGTCGCTGCTACTTAGCTGGATGCTACCGTTTTCTTTTGCCAGGATTTTGGTGACAGTCTGGTAAGGGATCTTCAGGCTGTGAGTCCAGAGATTCTGCCAGTTCATTCCCCTCATTCAACAGCCCTGATGCTCATGGTGGCTAGAGCCTGAGAAGAAGGAGCTGAAGGAAGCCCAGGCCTGTGGTGTCCCTACCTCCAGCCTCACACAGGTGTGGCCCCTGTACTCTGTATACAAGCCCAAGTGTCACCCATCCCCTACACACCCAGGTGCCCCTCAGCTCTACCCTCTGTTTTCCATTTGAGGGTAAAGCCTACAATTGCCTCCCTGGAGAAAAAGGGCAGAGGTCGGAGGAGGGAAGGAGAGAGGGAGGGAGAGAGTGAGAGAGCTGCACAGACCCTAGAGATGGGCTCAGGGTCTTTGGAGTGGGAAATTCAGAGTTCCAGGTACACAGTGCATGGTGTGTAAAGTGTTCAAGTAGCATGATGGTAATTCAGGCTGACCTTGAACTCACTATGTAGTCCAGGCTGGCCTCCAACTTGCAGCAACCCTCCTGTCTCAGCCTCCTGAGTGCTGGGATTGCAGATGTACACCACCATGCCTGGCTGGTAGGTCCTTTCTTACTGCAGAGCCCTCTACCTGTGAACAGGGGCCAGGGAGGACCCAGGCTGGGACCTTGGAAAGCTCACCCAAAGCAAGGACATTGGCTGTCATGTCTAAAGGCGGAAGAGATTGAACATCTGCCACACACCTCTGCAGTCACGGCCCTGCATGGAGCCCTCCACAGCACTCTAGCTCTCTCCCACTCACAGAATCAAGCCCCCATTCCTTAGGCCTCCAGGCCTCTCTCTGCCTGGCTCCTGCCTCCCGCTATATTAACCTTGAGCCTCTCTGTCTCCAGCCTCTCCCTTCCACACATTCCCTCTGTGCCGTGGTCACTCAGATTACGGATGTGACGCTGTCTGCCCTGAGCATTCCCTCGGGTGCGGTCTCATCTGTGTGGTGCTCTGCACAGAGTCTGTTGCCCCCTGGTGCTCCATCTACCCTGTGTGACTCCAAGTCTGAGTGGGTCCTATTCATCTCCTGGCACTCACTCTTCTACCAAGAACAGCACGGCCATTGCCATTCGGGCATGCTGACCATTCAGAGCCACGCACAGCATGTGTCCCCGGGAACTGTATGAAATTGCTACAGTACTTACGCCCACGTTACAGGTGAAAGAATGGAGGTGAAGAGCAGGAACCATCATCAGTCACAGAGCCAGCCAAGAACAGAGCCAGGCTTCACTCACTGGGCCAATCATCTTTGATTCCTAAAGTTGTGAGTGCAACAGAATCACTATGGTGATGGGCTGGTCGGGGTGGGGTGGGGAGGAGCTTATTAAAGATGCAGAATCCCGGACTAGCAATTCTTGTTCTGTAGGTCAGGTTTGGGGTCTGGGAAACTGCACTGTTACAAGCTCTGCAGGGGGATTATGATGTATGTGCTAGGGAAACCATACATGGAGACAAATCACAGGCTTTACTGCCTAATCACAAGCCTTGTACTGTGACCTGCTACATCTGATTAGCCTTCTGGGTCACCAGGACCCAGGAAGGAGGAGGAGCCATGAGTGCCACCAGGCAGCTCTCCATGCCCACTTTGGTTGTACCTTGTAGACACAACCAAGAATCTGGGGCCAGAATCCACATGTTTGTGAGAATGTTTAGCTCTGGTTTGGTCTCGACTCCCTGGAACTCCTGTCTGGTCCTCTCCATCCCATTGCCTGCAGCTGTTGCTAGTAGGAAATCTGCTCAGTGGGGATTGGGCTGTGACAATAACCAGGAAGCCATTGCAGATGGACCCCAGGGGTCCTGTGTACCTCGTCCTGCTCTTTGTTGAGATGGTCAGGCAGTGGAATCCCTGCCTTGGTTAGGTACCCTGGACTGGGGACCGCAAGGCCAGGGCAGTGTAGGTCCTGGGGTCTGCTAGGGCAGACCTCCCCTGGCCTTGACACTGGTTCCCAACCCATCACAAGAGTGCAATGGCGAGACCTCTCCTTGGAGAGGAAAGCAGTGTGTCCTCAACCCAGAGGACACGCAGGACAACACAGGAGACACCTTTCTCTTATCCTGTCATTTCCTCTGCCACAAATTTTCCCTGCCTTTCCATTGTGTCACCATTTCTTCCCTCTTTCCCAGCCCACCTCTCCCGGCAGGCTTGTTGCCAGCCCTGCTGTGTGGTCTGTGGTCTGCGGTCTGTGAATCACTCCTGTTCCCATATCTCTCCTAGGCCACAGCCAGGGACACCTGGCCAAGCAGGATCAACCAGATTTCTCTCTCCCGGTGAGTGGAATGGCCCTGTGGGCCAGCCGCTGGGGACTGTGTGTGCAGATGATCAGGCAGCAGGAGACCAGCGCTGAAAGTGAAGACAATGGTCTTCAGAGACCCAAAGAGAAAGCGGAGAAAGCTGCTTTGGTTTCTGCCAGCTTTCCAGGTTCCAGCACTAGCCCCATGGAGGACCTTGAATAAATCCTTGCTTTTGGGGCTCACAAGAAAACCTAACTCCTCTGCATTTTTGCCCTTGTTGAAGTTAGTGCCAGCCAGTCTTCTCACACCCAGCAGGGTATCCCAGATTTACACAGTCCTGACAGGGGAGCTGGGCCTGGGTGGAAGCTCTAGGTGACTTAGAAACAGAAGCTGGCCCCAGATCCATGCCAGGGATTAGGAGGCAATGAGAGAAAGAGACATACCCTGCTGTGGGAGCAAGGAAGATGAGGGAGTCTGAGGAGCATGGTGACAGGAGCGGCCAGCAGAGAAGTTGTGTGTCCCTGCTGTGTTTTTAGGTCCTGGTGGAAACCTACCCAGAGGGCTGTGGGGCAGAGTCAGAATACCAGGGTTCAAAGTGGATACGCACGCGAGTGTGTGCGTGTGTGTGTGTGTGTGTGTGTGTGTGTGTGTATGTGTGTGCATGTTAAGAGCTGTGGGTGGCCCTGTACGTGTTTCTTTTTTTAATCATTAAATTGGGTTTATTGGTACATTTTAGGTATACAGTACAGTTACACTCATCGCTGGGATCCTGTACCTTTACATGACAGGTCTTGGTTCTCATTTTTCCCTTTATCCCTGTCCTCCCTTCACCCCCTCCTCCTCTCCCCATTTACAAACACTTTATTTCCATTTTTTCATTTTCTCATATTTTTTTCTTTTCCTTTATTCCCTTTCCCCTACCCTTCCCACTTTCCCACACCTTTAGCCCTTTTCTTTCTATTTCACATTGTCAATTATCTCATTAGGATCTTATGTACTATTACAGTTTTTCACACCAGAGAAACTATTCAGTATCCCTTATGTATTTCTTAAACTCTAGGGACCTCAGTTCTAAGTACATTGCAGGAACCCAAGAAATGCTCAGTATTTATTAGCTTTTTTTTTTTTTTTTTTTTTTTACTCTAGGGATGGTAAGGCTGAAGGTGCTGGCTAAAATCAAGGTTAGAAAATTAAATTAACTGGGTCACATCACTGAAGGTTTTATAGATTCAGCAGAGAAATTTGGATTTTATCCAGAAAGCTACGAGAAACTGGAAAATTTTCAGCAAGTAAGTCCTGTTGTCGACTGACAGCAGGAGATTGCAACCTGCAACCAGCCTCCAGCCCCGGGGGCCATTGGTCATGTTTAAAAATGTGGCTGGTTGTTAAACCCAAGACCAAGAGTCTTGTGGCATCCGGTGGCCAGTGGCCAAGGGCGCTGCTAAAAATCCCACACTACACAGGACAGGCTACCATGGAGAACTATCCAGCCCCAAGGCCAACAGTAGCAAGGTCAAGAAAAGCTGGAGTGAAGTATTACAAAGAAAAGCAACCAAGCCCAAGCACGATGGCACACATCTGTAATTCCAGCACTCTAGGAGGCTGAGGCAGGATCCCAAGTTTCAACCCAGCCCAGGGTTAGAGGCTTAGGAAGATCCTGTTAAAAAAAATATTATAAAAGGGCTTGGGATGTAGTTCAGTGCAAGGGCCCTGGGTTTAATCCCCGGTATGTCTCTCTGTATTACACACACACACACACACACACACACACACACACACACACGTTAATCATCTCTCTGACAGGTTTTCCCATCTGCCGAAAGACTGGCCTTGGGAGGCTGAAGTGATTTGTGCTCTCTATACTGACCCTGCAGGAGCCTCTCATTCTCCTGGTGTGTTAGTTGTGGCCTTTGAATCCCAGCTGGCTGGGTCTGGGCTAGAACAGGACCCTCTGAGCCTGTACTACATAACCCCAAGAAGGCAGGGAGCTGAAGAAGGAGATAATGCTCAGGGTCCAAACCTTCTGTGAGATCAAACCCCAGCATCACTTTCTCTCAGCTGTGAGATGCAGAGCCATTTTCGCAGCCTCTCTGAGCCCCGGTTTCCCTGTTTGCAGCGTGGGACTGGACTGCCTCTTGGGTGGTGGATGGGAGGGTCTGAGACAGCCCTGGTGCCTGCAGGGGCTGCATCTGCATGAGCTGCAGAGGTGTGTGATGGATAAACACAGCAGCCAGTGCAGCGGGGCCTGAGGATTCATGGGGTGTGTTCATTATCTGCAGGAGAGAGCTGCAGAGTGCTCTTCCCAGAAACCTCTGACAGCCCCATCTGTTAGAGGGAACTAGGGACATGTACCCTGGGCAGCATTTTCCTGAACTCACCTGGGAAGGGGCGCAGGAGTGGAAAGGAAGCTGGGTGTGGAAAGGAGTGGATTCCCAGACCCAGTGCCTGAAGTCTGGGGCTGCTGGCAGACTGTGAGATCAGGCAGGAAATTTCATTAATCACTGGACCGAGATGCACCAGAGACTTGGAAACCAGGAAAGCTTTGCTCAGAGAGGCAGGATAGCAGGCCCAGTGCCTGGGTTCAAATCCCTTCTTGGCCATGAAATAGTCACAGGAACTTAAGCAAAGTACTTTATCTCTCTATGCCTGTTTTTCCATTTATAGAAATAGAGATATGCAGCTAATATTAATACCAATCTGAAAAGGTTTCTCTGAATATTGTATATATACAGCTTCCCTACCATTTGTGTAATAATAATGTATCATCTCCATCAGCCTCAGCATCAAGCAGAGGGGCCACAGACCTGCAGCATCAGCATAGCTTGGGAGTTCTTTAGGAATACAAATACTCAGACTCCAACCTCAACCTCCCAAGTCAGAAACTGCATTGACTGGCTGCGTGACCTCAGTTGGAAAAAAAAATGATCCTCTAGGAGCTATGGATTTCTTACCTGTAGAATGGGATTATAATATGATCTACCTTCCCCTCTGCTGTCATGCCTATACAACGGCTTTGGCCTCCTGCCAATTTTTAGACTGTACCGAACACTTTTCTGCTCCAGGTCCTTTGCACATACTGTTCTATCTGCCTGAAACACCTGTCCCTTGGTTCTCTCTAAGGCTGACCTCTGCTACATTTCAGGTTCAATTTAAATGGTAACTCCTCAGCAAGGTCGTTCTTCACCAGTGCTGCCTCATCTCTTATGACTTTATGTCACTACATATTTTTTTTTCTTAGATGCAAGTCAGTCTACAATTATCACATTTTTAAGACAACATCTTCTCTACCTTCAGATTGTGCCATAGAAGCTCTCAGAGGTCAGGAACTGGGTTTTTCTCTGCCCTGTGCCTGGTACAGTGTGGGTGCTCCATAAATATTTGTAGAAGGAATAAACGAGGGCATCATATCAGTAACACAGAGCACTTGTCACAGTGATGGACACACAGTGAAGGGCCTGTAATAAAAATGGCATTGAACATCATTATAATAAAACAGGCTGCGATGCAGCCCTGGGCCATGTTTGCCCATGGAGCTTGGCCTTGGCAAACAGTTCTGTGCATGATGCTTTCTGTGCAGGCCCCAGCACTCTGAAGCAGCGCTGTGATCCTCTTGTCCAATCGGAGAGCCGGGCTGCCCTGAAGCATCTGCCTCATTAAAACATGGAAATAGCTGTCATGTTGCTATGGCCCAGCCCAAGCCATCGAGCACTCCAAATTGGGTTTTGTCATTTTATACAGCACAACATACATTTGTTAACTTTGCAAACAGTAAACACCACCTGCAAAGTGCCTTTAATATTTAATGCAACTATAAATTGTTTTGAAAATAAATCCAGCCATGTGGGAAATGCAGCAGAAGAGACAGGAAGCCGATCCAGGAGCTGCTCGTGGCAGCACAGAGGGCCTTGGATCTGTGCTCAGCCACGGTGCTGCTGCGGATCCCCCGCGGGCCCCGACACCAGCCCTTCCCAGGACCCAGGGTGAGCCGGGCTGCTTCTGAACGCATGGCAGCACCCGCTTGGTTCTTCCAAAGAGGCATGAAGGGTCTCTGGGGTCCTCCTTGAGTAGAATGGTTTGGGAAACATTGACTATGCAAACACTAGCCAGGGTCTTGATGGGAAAAGG